CATAAGAGAAAATGATGGCATTCATATTCCTGCCATCAACTGATTGGAAATTATATTTTTTTCTCTTTCGATTGTATGATGGCTTTACACTTTCTCATTGTACAATTTAAGAAATGTTNAAAGAATTCGTTAAGGGTTACAGCGCGGGCCTTTTAGTTTCGTTTTGTTGAGTATTTTTGTTTTTGTCGATATGTCCTTACGTGGGCACCAATGTAACGAATATCTCTCTTCGATGCGGTAGGGGTCGAACCTTGACCTCTACTTATCTGAAGCTCTTCCGAATAAACTAATACCACAAAAACAAAATGCCTTTACTGCTATTATACAGCCTTTTAATCAATACATATTAAGATTGAATAGCAACACGACGATTTGACAGAACATTTACGTCTTTGGAAGAACATACAATTACTTTAAATTGTCCTACTGTTTGAGTAACGGAAATAAATTTGAGTTTTAACATCAAATAAAAATTTAAATGGTAGAGAAATATAAACGTTCGCCTCTCTAGGAATTTTCCTGGCGTTATGTGACTAAAGAAGTTCGGATCACCAATTCAAACAAACGGTCCAATTGTTCATTTTCATTACACTGCATCAGAGGAAATGTGTTTAAAATGTGTGTATATGTCTATAACTATCTAACTAACTATCAAATCCTCACTAATAATCAGTCAAGAGGAAATGTGTTTAAAATGTGTGTATATGTCTATAACTATCTAACTAACTATCAAATCCTCACTAATAATCAGTCAAGAGGAAATGTGTTTAAAATGTGTGTATATGTCTATAACTATCTAACTAACTATCAAATCCTCACTAATAATCAGTCAAGAGGAAATGTGTTTAAAATGTGTGTATATGTCTATAACTATCTAACTAACTATCAAATCCTCACTAATAATCAGTCAAGAGGAAATGTGTTTAAAATGTGTGTATATGTCTATAACTATCTAACTAACTATCAAATCCTCACTAATAATCAGTCAAGAGGAAATGTGTTTAAAATGTGTGTATATGTCTATAACTATCTAACTAACTATCAAATCCTCACTAATAATCAGTCAAGAGGAAATGTGTTTAAAATGTGTGTATATGTCTATAACTATCTAACTAACTATCAAATCCTCACTAATAATCAGTCAAGAGGAAATGTGTTTAAAATGTGTGTATATGTCTATAACTAACTAACTAAGTATCAAATCCTTACTAATAATCAGTCAAGCATTAGACGAAGGGAAATAAATAATAAGTTCATTTTCTGGTACCAGTATGGCCTTCTACAGACAGAAAATGACACGAGGGTTTCCAGTACAATTTATCCTAATAAGGCATCGCGCGGTCATTTTTCGTATGGTTAAGAGGATATTTAACTGACAAAAAAACATCGAATTGTAATTAATAATGAACGTTCTGATTGGATTGTAATCAAAGCGGGGTCTGTCAAAGTTCGATTCTTGGTCCACTGCTATATTTTTTATCTACATGAACGATATGGACAATAACATAAATGCATGATTTTATTGTAAGCAAACGATACAGCACTGTTCATCACAAACTACTGTATTATATAACTGGTTGAAAATCGGGGTACATGTAGATATTAAGGTAAACTTCAATTCAGAAAAAAGATCAGAAAGTAATATAATTGGTAATCAAATCATCCATACCTATCAATATACATGAGTGTCGAAGTACATTTTTCTGATAATAGATGTTGGGTGAAACATGTAAAAAACGTTAATAATGATTGCATCTCTGTTTTATATCATAACCAACATTGACAATTATAGCTGAAGGGATGCTGATTTGAACAGGGATAATTTACATGGGAAGGTTGAAAAAGGGCTGGGGCTATACAGTGTAAAATATGGTACATGGACACAGTATAATCATTCATTATTATGTTAAACTGTAGCCGAATCGAAATATCTTTTTGCGTTGTTATTATTAAAACTTCGGTAGGACAATGGTTAACGGGCCAATTCGATTGATAAAGTGAAAAACAAATCAGTTAGATGCATCTGACATAATTCGAGCTGCCTCAGAATCGATGTTTATAAGCTAAACGTCTATTCGTTATGTCAATGATAGGTATGATAAAGTGCGTTGCTGGTGAGTTTATAATTGATTCGTATCGTTTCTCATTAATAACGTATCTTACATGTTCCACTCAACATCTATTATCAGAAAAATGTACTTCGACACCCATGCAGAATGATAGGTATGGACGATTTGATTACCAATTATATTACTTTCTGATCTTTTTTCTGAATTGAAGTTAAGCTTAATAACTACCTGTACCACAATGTTCAACCAGTTATATAATACAGTAGTTTGTGATGTACAGTGCTGTATCGTTTGCTTACAATAAAATCATGCATTTGTGTTATTTTCCATATCGTTCATGTAGATAAAAATATAGCAGTGGACCAAGAATCGAACTTTGACAGACCCCGCTTTGATTACAATCCAATCAGAACGTTCATTATTAATTGAAATTCGATGTTTTTTTTATCAGTTAAATATCTTCTCAACCATACGAGAATTGACCAGGCGATGCCTTCTTCGGATAAATTGTACTGAAGACCCTCGTGCTATTTTCTGTCTGTCGAAAGCCAACAAAATGGTACAACAAAAAAACCTTATAATCCTTTCCCTTCGTCTAATGCTCGACTGATTATTAGTGAGGATTTGATAGTTAGTTAGGTAGGTATAGACATATACACACATTTTAAACACTTTTCCTCAGATGCAGAGTAATGAAAATGAACTATTCGACCGTTTTCTTGAATTGGTAATTCTGAACTTTTTTTAATCACATAACGCCAAGAAAATTCACAGAGAGATGAACGTTTATATTTCACTACCATTACATTTTTAATTTGAGGTTAAAACTCAAATTTATTTCCGTTACTTAAACAGTATGACAATTTTAAGTAATTGTATGTTCTTCCAAAGACGTAAATGTTCTGTCAAATCGTCGTGTTGCAATTCAATCTAAATATGTATTGATTAAAAGGCTGTATAATAGCAGTAAAGGCATTTTGTTTTTGTGGTATTAGTTTATTCGGAAGAGCTTCAGATAAGTAGAGGTCAAGGTTTGACCCCTACCGCATCGAAGAGAGATATTCGTTACATTGGTGCCCACGTAAGGACATATCGACAAAAACAAAACTACTCAACGNGAGGGGGTGGAGAGGGGTGGTGGTGGAGAGGGAGGGGGAGGGGATAGTGGTAGAGCTGGAGAACATTTCTTAAATTGTACAATGTGAAAGTGCGAAACCATCGCACAATCGAAAGAGAAAAAAAAAAATTCCAACCAGTTGATTGTAGGAATATGAATGCCATTATATATGGTTACGCCAACATCGTATGTATTTGCACGTGTAACTTATATTATGTGTTTGCATGTGCCGTGAAGGCACGTACATGTATCCATACGTGTCATGCAGGATATATAGATGATAAGAGTGCACATGCTTTTATTCATATTTGTTTTGTATTTATTTCCCAGCACTTCTATTTAAAAGACTGCAAGGTTTGGGTCCCCGGGGTCAGCTTTCGTACATTAAATGTCTTCTCGCAGGGGCAACGGACGTATTTATTTGATTTCTAGTTAAAGATAAGAACAATATTTAACATAAATCTGTCTATAAGACGAACATTGCTGTGTATATTAATCGTTGATATAAATATTGCATGCGTCATCTTAAAATTCTTATTTAAAAAAAAAAAAAATCTTTTTTTTTTTCAAAACAAAATTTAGAAAAATCCTACAGATAATGATTTTGATATCACTACCTTCCAACGATTTATATCAAAACGTTACTAGTTTCCATTAATCAAGTAGTATAACATTTTTCGATTGGAATGTATTTATAATACGGTGTGTCATATATTGTATGCTTTCATACCGACAATTTAAATTAATAGGTTTATGTAGCGGAAATGAAATAGACTTTTTTTTTTTTATTTATTTTTTATTTCTAATGCGTATGCTTTTTTTTGATAAAAGGTGTGATGCTATTCAATTAATCTGACTATATTGACAACGATATTGGGTTTGTATGTAAGCCGATAAGTGTCAATTTGAAAAATTAAAATAATATTTTCATCTGGTTGAAACAAGATATCTTACGCGATTTAAGGAGATAACGAGATAACCTACGCGATTTTACAATTTGGTTAACGGGTTAAAACATGATAAAATTACTTTTAAATTAATCAAATTGACACATATAGGCTTCCGTAAATCAATTAAGTCTTGATTTATAGTCGATACAGTCATGGACTTATCGAATAACCCTCGCTGTCTATCTTTGTAGTGACACAGACTATTTAGATTACCCCCTCTATCAATGTAACGGTGTCAACTTCCTGGTCTTATTGGAATTCAGATTACACCTGTCCATGTCGATGGTTTATGCATGTAAGATATAAAGCATACAAGGTCTTTGCGGTTTCAAAAGTAAACCCAAACTCCAGCAAGGCTACCAAAGGGATCCACATGTTTAAGAAGCTAACTCGAAATCTATAGCAAAGCTACCATCGGGGTCTACATGTTTAACAGGTCAACTCGAACTATGTTGTTTAATTCGAATCGTCAATTAACTTTGATAAAGCTAATGATTGGAAGCGGGCTTAAGGTATAAGTCCGACGTTAGGTTATCGAAACAATGACTTCAGGTAAAATTTTCATTTGTACTTTTTTCATCAGCACCGATCCGATAAAGATTGATTTGAGATAAAAGCGATTGTTGAAGATTTTATCTACCTAGTTCAGGCCAAGTTAAACTATCCTGACATTTTACTTTATAATTTAGACATAGAGGGTCGTGACCTATGCAGTAATATAATTCAAAGAAAGAAATATAGTCAATTTTGTAGTCTAACAAAGTTACTATCAAGAAGAGTTAAGACACAGGCGAAAGGACGAGCACCATGTCATACCTGGAATACGGACTGATAAAACGGATAAATAAGGCCCAACTCGGAGCGAAATTTGTACTTCGAAATATTTTATTTAAAAAAAAATACAATCCAGAGCCTATCATATTTACAATTAAAAAATGAATACATGTTAGATTATGGCGTGTATGGGATAGCTATGAAATCAATTGAACTCAAATGTTACAATTGCTTAATTTGATTCATTAGCTATTTTCGTTGTAAATTTAAATAATCAAAGAGTGATCAAATACATAACGGCAGTGATGATATATCCTTAACTGTAACCTTGTTATTCCGACGATATACTGACTTACTTTACCTTATCCCAAGCACATGTCCATAATTTCGTTAGACGTATGATTCCAATGAAAGCTTTTTACAGATCTATAGACATTATTTGACTTTGTAACTATTACATGATACCTACCTATATCATATGCACTTATTTCAAAGCCGTTTAACAAAATAACACCTGTAAAATATTTAATTTTAAAATGTTTTAAAATCTATATAATTACACATAATTGATTCAATCTCAAAGAATGAAAAGAGACAACTTTCAAAACGATATGTTAAGATAGTAAGTAAGTAAGTAAGCTCACATTCTAAGGGAGATTACTCTGACAATATGTATACTTTGCAAAAAAGCATAAATCCTTAAAAGATTAATTAATTGAGATTTACAGTGAAAAGTAAACAAATTTAAAAAGAATGTAAAGAGGATGAACACAGTGTCCAAACCTTGACATTCCTTAATGAAAAGTCCCAGGAATAACTATGAAACTGAAAAAATGTTCTGAAGGACAAACGAAAAAATTGTCTTGTTGATTGGCTTATACATTCCCAGGAATCAATAACGTTTAAATGTAAATTCCCTTCAGATAAATCAATATTTGCTATGAGCTTGTCGTAAAAAACACCTGGTCATTGATTGTGATACATTTGAAATCAGCTGGCAGTTTACTTAGCCGACAGTCCAATATATCCTTTTACATCACACCACAGTCAGGATTCGAATTCACTTGGATGTCGTTGCAAAGGTAGGAATCCGGACAATCCTTCAGAGTTTTATCAAAGTAATCTTGAATGGTGCTGTCGATGGTCAAACAGTTTCCAAGGACACTAAGATGCTGGTTACGGTTACTGGTTATGTCATGACTCCCCCACTTATACAGCCACTGAAGCGAGCACGTGCACTCGATCTTATTGCCTGTCAAGTCGACGGTGATGTTCATAGCTCTCAGACAAAGATTCTTAATGGCACAGGGCACATTCGTTAGTTGGGTGTTACGAAACTCCACTCTGGTTAATTTTATCGACTTCTGGAACGCATGGTCCGAGACATACTGTAAAGGATTATCATTCAAATTAAGAGTCTCAAGACTCGTTAAGTTTTCCAAGTCTTGCCGCTGAATGCTGTGTATACCGTTAAAAGACAGATCGATATCCTTCAGAGTTTTCATATCTTGTAGTGCGCCAGGAATACGCGAAATGCTTGAATTGCGCAGACTCAGACTTGTGACGCGTTTGATGGCATTAGCTGATTGATCGCTGACAAATTTCAATGCATTTTGACCCATTTCAAGCTTAGTGAGGTTATCGAACTTGCCTAGGATTTGAGGGAAAGTTGTTATGTTATCATCTTTCAGCGTTATCAGACCAATATGTGTAAGTATACCATGAACCAGAGGTACGTTCATCCCGAAGTCGCCCACCTCTTGGTTGTGGTCGAAGCGCAGCTCTGTCATGTAGTTCAGCCTTCCAAAAGCAAGGGGCACCGATTTCAAATTAGTATTTTCGATTAAAAGCTTTTTAAGTGTCCTCTCAAAACCATAAAATGCCCATATAGGCATCAACGAAAAGCCCCCTCTAGTTACATTCAGTTCTTCGAGACGTGGGAAGTGCTTCAACTCTGTCGGCCAATTAGGATCGAAGTCATCATCTCCAAACGAAAAGCGGAGAAGAGTATCTCCGATTTTCTTCATTATGCGATCTTCATTGCGGAAGTTTTCAATAGGGTTACCAGATACACTCAATCCTCTGATATTGGCCACGTTGGTAACGGCTTCAGGGATCTTAGTAAGCATATTGTTACTTAGATCTAAGTCCTGAACAGTCAGGCCTGCAAACGTGTTAAGTTCAAAATCATGATTAAATAGACGATTGTTAGCCAGGCTCAGCCTTGATAGAGTGAGGCGATTGAACGTATTATTTGGTAACTGCAGGTTCGGGCTGTCGTAAATGCTGAGTGAATTGAGGCGGAGAGGATTAGCGACTGGTGCTAGTGACACGATTCCCTGGCAGAGAACGTCATTGGCTATACAGGAACAATTGTGACTGGAGTATTCCGTAGGCAGACAGTGAGCAGACTGCTGATGGGATCGGCCGACTAAGGAGAGGCCCACAACACACACCTGTACAGAATTGTAGCATCATAACAAATCGATACGCATCTCTGTCATACCGACGCTCAGTTTATCATATCATTATTTGAATGTTAATGAGCCATGATAAAACAATGTCTCTTAAATTAATATTTATCTCCTGATTGCCACCTTTTGACGGTATTCTCTTTGGTAGATGGTATCGTGAGAACACATAATGTTTCAGGAATAACGAAAATGGTTTTCTTTGCTAAAATTTGGGTTTCGCTTGTATCTTTAAAAAAGTATGTTTTTAATTTATCAACTGGAAAAGTGGAATAAATAAAAGACAAGAGTTCGTACAAATTTACAATCAATAGCAAGAGAAAACTATTTGACCTAGTCCTTCAAACAACATGACTCTGTAAAAAGAGCACTAACAAATGTTGACGAACGAAACGATTGTACGAACCACGAATTTAGATTCATAGCGTATAAACAGTAGCTCGCGTTCAGATCACACTAAGGTTGTATAAACAGTTGTACTCACCCAGATCACAAACATGTTGGGTTGTCCAGGTGGCGATATCCGACGACAGTTCTATGCTAAAAAAAAAAAAAAAACAAAAAAAAACACGGAGTCACAATGTAGGCGATTCAGGACACACGATTATAGTTAAACATATAATGGTATTTGTTAGATCCTATAAGTCTTAAATTTTTGTGACGAGCGATTTTCTTCTGTCCTCCTTTATAATTTGCTCTCAACATTAGTACATTTGTAGAAGATGGAACCGTGTCTGTGTTGACATAAATTGTATGCTGTATTTGATTAATGGTATATTGATGCAAAGGAACTAAGAAATGGAGTCTAACATACGATTGAATTGGATTTCTTTTTCTTTTCTAAATCAAGACCAATGCTTTAATTATATTATTTCGTGTTTTTAGGGTGGATGACATGCTGTTGTCTATGTTTCAAGCGGCTCTTACAGTAAATATGTATCATATCATGGAAATTTAAAAAACAATTAAGATCCTATTTTGATGCATCTGAATAACCTAAGTAGTGTGTGTAACATGCCATAAATATAACATACTTTGACAGTAGGGCACATCAGATGGGGATTAATGTTAGGGTCTAAAATATATTTTAATGAAAAGAGGGCAGTAGAGTGATCAAGATAGGTTCATTTATAAAACGTAAACATACATATTTGATCTACCGAGAGGGCGAATAGATGAATAAATGTCCTACTGTTGGGGTAAATCAGCATGCTGAGTAGAAGAATACTAGGTTCCTAAACTTACAGTTGTAATGAACTATGAGCTTAAAACAAATATGTATATCAACATTCAATTATTTTTGCAGCCATTATACTATTTCGAGGAGAGTTGATTTTGTTCGTTATATACTGTTTATTTTGAGAATTGTGTGTAGTTGAAAATAAAATCATACATGGCCCGCAATGAAATCGCGTGTATTTTGCCATATATCGCAACAGTCTCAATGACAAGTAAGAGCTCAGCTAACACGGGTATGATTAATCTATCATTAAATCATTTGTAATTTGATTTAAAATTATCAAATAAGGAAAGAATGCCAAAAACCAATGTTCTTTTCATAACAAACCCTCCGAATCGTCAAAAAGTCACAATAAGTACATGTTTAAACGTTTAGTTTGAATATGCATAACATATTATTGATTGAAATAGTTGTAGTTGATGTTAATATTAACTAAATTATTTGATTTTAATAATGAGATACGGAAACCGAATACAAGTCTGTAACAAATCCGTTATGTGGTGTACAATAAAAGCAAAGAATTATCTTAGTTGTGACTTGTTAATTACAGATAATGTGAGGAAAAGGGGTTAGGTGTACGGCTTAATTACAACTACATTATTTGAGTAAATAGAAATAAGATTTCTTCGATCTTCAAACAAGTATCGCATTATACAATCTAAATGCTTTTCATGCGCAAAAACCGTATAAAGGCATTGTTAAAAACAAACAAGATTAAATAAACTTAAACCGAGTGAATAAGTGAATCGCAATAGAATTGATGAATGATAACCTCTATTGTCCTTGTGGAATAACCATACTTATAAGTAGGATCTGGTATCTGGCATGATGGGAACTTCAGTTAAATTTAAAGTACAAAACCCAAGATGATTAACAAACCTTAATCTACCCCTTCCCATAACCGTATATCCCTTGCCTATCACACACAAGTAATACAAATGAAATACTGTCCAAATAAATAAATACATTTCATTAAACTGCGAAAAGTCATATCTGCCATGCCTTCTGGAATAAACCAGTGGCGTTCCAGTGCTAAATACCCCCACTTACTGCCTAAACAAGCATTAAGAACTAGACTACTTCCTAAATAATAATACATTATGTCAATTGTTTAACCTACCTTAACGACAAAGTGCTCTCTGATAAATGACTCGATAGATCAAAACATTTCGTTTAAATGTTGGGCAGAAATATAACAGATGTTTTCTATCTTTTCCTTGCAATCTTATCATGATCAAGGTCCTAACCGGCGGCGAAACCGTTTGTTAGAGTAGCTTACGAAGGTGCGGCCTGTAACTACGGTTACAGGGAAGTGTATCACATACAATACCGGTCAGGCACAATAAGCTGGAAATCGCATTTGTTAGTAACGTATCTCGTTCATGGTCTCAAATATGAATATAAACTTTATTTGCTTTACAACAATTATGAAACACGTTATTTCAACTTATATTAATCACTATTGTTTGCCCGGATGTTAGCGTATGGTCGGTCATAATATAGGAGAAAACCGAATAACCCGGGTAGGTCACCCAATACCTTTTCACGTCCGATCAGGGAATCGAACCCCAGCCGCCTTAGTGAAAGGTCTTAGTTCCCTTGCTACAGAATTATTATAAATAAATCAACGGAGTAAATGTACATTAACATTAATCAAGCATTTTAAACAGCACATCTTACAATGCCCGACGGTACACCTCGGGTCATCTTGTGAATTGTCAACCTTATTTATTATTTGATTTATATTACACCAATAATACATCAAGTCTTTTCAACTTATAATAGCCACTATTGTTGGCCTATATGGAAACTTGCAGACGATCCCATTCTTTTAGACTGGTAGGGGAGTCGAATCCTAGCCATCATCATGAAAGACGAGTGCGCTATCAACCGCGTTACTCTAACATTAAGAAATGTTTTACCAAGAAAAACTCCAGGTAGAGATGTCTAGGAGAGAAACGAAAGAGATGAACATAAAGAAAAGGTTGGTAACCTAAATGTCTCATTGGGTGTTGGAGATCGCCTTTAGTTTTTTGAATGTCCATCAAACAGAAGCGCCAATTTTTGTAAACGTAGAATATAGACGATGATTAAACTTAAACAGGCTTTTTTTTTTTTAAATCAATCAAATCCTCAACGCATAGTTGTTTTGAAAGGGCAAGCGTATCATTCGATAACTGATTAAAGTTAGACCATTTTATGATCAGACCCTGTAATTATCTTAACCATACGTTGTCTGATTGTATGTTTCCCGTTACAAAGCTGTAATGATTTTTTAAAGGATTTTATTTTATTAATTAAGGCCTACAAACACTTTACGGTCCAACGGGCCCATACAGTGGGGAATGTTAACGTCGAGGGCGGCACGAAAAAGAGAAAAAGAGAAAGATTTTTCAAAATATGCAGCAGATGCACTGCAAGGAAACTTAAAGCAAACCAACAATTACCAGCAGTGAATCGCATCAAAAGACGTTAAGATGCACAGAACAGGCTTATTTGTTTACTTTCTGAAGTTAACCTTCGATTCAGCTTGTAATGCAAGATGAATTCAAAGGAGTTCTGCTGCACTCAAAGCAACACATTGGGACGTTTATGTATCATTTATACCTTTTTTCATATCGGGACTCGACTGAGATGGCGTCACATTATTCTTGCAAGCCCTAACTAAAAGTGGTAATTCATAGAGACATATCCTCCGTTAGAGAATCTATAGAAACCTAATGAGTTACAGTTGTGACCAGCGATAAACATCGATGTTTCCAGTGGTTAAAAGAGAGAAGAAGCAAACTGGCCATTTGTTATGGGACCCAACTTTGGTCACATGATGTGATCATGCCATGGGATGCAGAATGCAACACTCTTTCTTATTCTTTAAACCTACAGAGTACTTTATTGTTTAAAATCTTTCTATCATTATCCAAAATAATTGTGTTCTATTTAAATTACCAAATTGAAAGAATGGCGCTCGTAGGGGTTCTATTCCTTCGAAACAGCAGGTAATATGATAACTATTAAGATAACGCAAATTAAAATTGACACTGGTGTTGAATATATTAAAAAACTCTTCCAAACCTGTATTGGTCGGTAGTATGGTATCTCTCACTAGGCCGCTCCTACCAGTCCTAGTAGTTCCCGGCACGACCTGTAGATAAGCATTCGTGGTCCTAGACCTTGGCAGAGAAGTGTGGCTGGAATCAGTTTACTTACAGCGAAGATGGTTCCTACAGGAAGCATGTTAGCAGTGTTGGTGAGTAGAATAGTATAACGGGTTTTCTTAAAGAATACATATCAATTTCTTTTCCTAATTTATTTTGAGACATTTCATCTTCAAATCTATCTTGACAAAAGTTAAACCAATTACATATTACCTCCTATTAGATTTCCACATTTGAGGTCCCTAGCGCCATCGATGACACATAGAAGGACGAAATAGGTATATGATGCAGGGCAATTGATTTTCGACGTACTGCATCTATTTATGTGATTATTTGTTAAGGTATAGTCACGCCTGTGTGTCGTAGGTCACTTTTTCGTTGGAAATGTATTTTGATGAATTCGTACGAGGCTATGGACCTTTGTCTATAAGAACGGAGTCCATTGGCAAATTTGGAAGATAAACAGTTCAAATGCCCTTCTGTACAACGGATAGTTCGCATGCAATGAACTATATCTGTGTAATACACTGTATTTTGAGTACGTCCCTCTCTGTAAATTGTCATGGGTATGTACAGGAGGAGAGAATCCGTCTGATCTATGAAGAATCACTGCGTGTGCGTTGTAATTTTGACATCTAATTAAAATCACAAACTGATATTGCCAAAACAATAAAGCCCGTCACCATTATTTTATTGTGGCCTTCAAAATATTTTTGTATTATAAGGATACCGAGTCTTAACATTAAACCTGAGATTAAGATTACATTCTTTGTCTATTCCAAAGTAAGACAAGCCGTTTTAATTATTTAGAGCTTTTTTGCTTTTTTTGTTTTGTTTGTTTTGGTGGAAAGGGGGGGGATATGATATGATGATATCTATTTAGTTTCGTCAACTATTCAAGAATAAATACTGAAAGAACAATGACAACTAGCAACTTACATGTATTACTATACTACGCATGCATGAGACATGTTCTTAAATTTTGACACTCGAGATAACCCGCTCCAACTCAAGTCTACAATGTAAAAAATATAAAAGAAATTTCAATTGTGAAAAAATGATATCGTGAATGAAATATTAAATTTCGATATAGAAAGTTGATAATTTTATTTAACATTTCACGTTTCAAATCAGTATTTAATATAACATTCAACGGCAAAATCTGCGTTGACTCGGGAACTTACATTGTAGCGTTATGTAAGGTAAACATTAACACTTAGTGTTTCGGTATTTGTATTATTGCAATTAACGCAATTGTAATTCAGCGTAATGTTTGAAGCGCAAAATGGTTGAACATGATTAACGCTGAAATGTGTACGTCGTTCAAATAAGCTAGTTTGGCAATAAAGCAAGTAGTGGTTTTCTTAGATCAACTTGAATTATTTTGAACACCGAATTAGATCAATAAAGGAAAAGGGAACAACTTCGAGCAGGAACTAATGACGTCATGGTGTATCATGTCGAAAGCCAAATTGAAAATATTTTGAATTTCACTAGTTTTTTTTAATTTATCTAGAACAATAGATGAGAACTTATAAATGTTTGAATGGAGATATTATTATATTATGCAATTACTTCACATCGCTATACCATAAACATCAGCAGATTAAGATTAAAGAGATTGTATAAAACGAACATAATCTTACGTTGTGTGTGATTGTATTTGTTGTAGGCAGTTGCGATCGTTCTCCCCGTTGTACAACCATTCACCATTCCATGTGTGGGATGCACGTGTTTTGATAAAGACACCAATCACGTGATAGACTGCAGTGGTCGTAACCTAACCAGTGTTCCAGATGGTGTCAGAAATCAAGGCGACGTATACGAAATCAATCTTTCAGGAAATAAACTAACGCACATGCATTATTCAGACTTTTTAGGCACCACTGCAGTAAAGGTTGATCTTAGTGACAATCAGATACGTAATATAGATGACGGCACTTTCGGTGTGTCGTCCAATATAGAGAGTCTTGATCTTCACAAGAATCAACTGAATTCGTTACCGGAAGCCTTAACTCGTCTGAGGAAGATAAACACACTTGACGTCAGGGATAATCCCGACAATAGCGATATTCCTATAAACCTGACTAACGCCATCATGAAGGAGATGGGGGATACCATCCAGAAATTTCAATTTGGACATCGTAATCTTGACCATTGGCCGCCGACTATTAGTCACTTTCAAGACTTACAGGACCTAACCTTGGACCAGTCAAGTGACCAGCTGAAGGTCATTCCACCCATGGCCTTCCATTCATTCCAGAGTACGTTGTTGGTACTAACCATAAAAAATACAAATCTCGTAGCTGTTCCACTTGGTGTTAGCACCCTTCGGCGAATTGACGAATTCCATTTCGATAACAATGTCAAGGTCGGTAATGAGGGTATAGTTGCACAGGCCTTTGTTCGTAACCACACAACCCTGAGAACTCTCAGTCTCATCAACGATAACCTCTCGAGCTTCCCACGTGCCCTGGCATACATTCCAACCCTCCGTAATTTAGACATGAGCAACAATGGCCTGGAATTTATCAGTGACGAGTCCATCTTGAATTTGGGTATAACTAATTTGACAATGCATTTTTGTAACCTGGACAGAATCCCAGGTGCCTTGTTCCACCTTAAACATTTAACTCGGTTAGATATGGCCGACAACAAACTAGTAACGGTAGAAAACAACGACATCCAAAACATCCCAGAGGTCACGAATCTTACACTTGCACGCAATCCAATCAAGTTTATATCGAATACTGCTTTCGGTAATCACACAAGTCTGGATTCTGTTGATATCAGTTATACAAAACTCACTACGATACCCGTGGCTTTCAACACCACCCACGTCGACAACATCAACCTGGTAGGAAGCCACATCGACTGTATGTGCGAATATGTTTGGGTAAGCACCATTGTCAACAATTTCGAAGGTTGCTGTGCAAATATTGAAGAACGCATCGAAGACTACGTTAGGAAGTACGTACCGCTTTGTCCCGAATACATAGAAAGGTATGGACTGGGTCGCACAGCTGAAGCCGATCTGCACGCTCATATACAGTCATTAGATAAATCCGGATGTTAATTTCCATATTAACATTGAGGCAATGACCATACAAAGGGCCGGTCAGAAAAATCATAATAATACAAAATACAACAATTTCACATTGCATGAAGATGATTGGTGTCAAGGGCTGTTTCGTTTCTATATTTGTGATTGAGATGTAAGTTTTAATTGATAATAATCGCCCAATGGTATTGTGTATAATTTCATGTCTTTTATAATTAAAATTATATAATTTATAAGTGTTCAAACGTTCGTCAAAATCCCAATTATTGTTAAGATAATCTATACAACAATTAATCAAAGAAGTGCTTATAATGTGTATACATGCCGTACTAAAACACCTGTGGTGTTGAATACAAAACAAGTGTGATCAGTGTCAAAATGTTATTAATAAAATTTCATAATGGTATTATTGCTTAGTTTTGTTTTCTTTATTTTCTCCTGTATTATCAGGCCTGTCTGCAATTTCCATCATATATAGGTTAATTGAAATTAAGTAAAAAACAAGAATATTGTGCTTTTCGTCCTATGAACAGCTATGGTCATTTAAGGACGTGTCAGGTTTTGGTGGCGGAGGAAAGCCGGAGTTCCCGGAAAACCCCCCACCTACCTACGGCCCCGTACCTGGTGAATACCCCACGTAGGCCTCGAACCCGCGATCAGGTTGTGGAGGGCTGGTGGTAGGAGAGTGTCGACGTCAGACGCCTTAACCACTTGGCCACCACGGCCCCCCAAAGGTTGGTACCTAAATATGCTGTTTGTCGAAAACGCATTTAAAGATAGGAAAATCATCATGCAAAAATAAACAAACGGCACTTATCCATCATTTTTTTCATTATAGACATGAGGACGTACTAGATTCTAGTTAGATTTTGCCGAAACAGAACATTTTATTCTTGATTTTACTGTTTGTCAAATTAAGGTCGAAACAGGAACAAGTGCGTTATACCCTTTGTCTTTTATGCTAGATTCTATTGTTTACAATATTCAATGCTGTACGAGAACACACCAGTGCTTTGCTCATTTCTTTGGTTATCAAAAACATCATGTTCAACATTGTTTTTCTCTCTAAAAGTCACTTTTTGAAACATTTACTTTCACAAGGAAATACATATGCGACCAATACGACTAATAGACGTAAAGAATTTGCTAATATAATGAAAGACTGACGGTGGTAAAAATCTGGATGAAGCATAAAAAATGTAAAGATTGAAGGTGGAATGTACTAGAGGGAGGTATACAAAAACGGAATATAGCGAGGCGGAGTCTGAAAGTAAGCTATATAGACTTAAGACGGAATATAGCGAGGTGGAATCTGAAAGTAAGCTATATAGACTTAAGACGGAATATAGCAAGGTGGAATCTGAAAGTTAGTTATATAGACTAAAGACGGGATATAGCGAGGTGGAATCTGAAAGTTAGTTACATAGACTAAAGACGGGATATAGCGAAATGGAATCTGAAAGTTAGTTATATAGACTGAAGACGGAATATAGCGAGGTGGAATCTGAAAGTTAGTTATATAGACTTAAGACGCTTTATAGCGAAGTGGAATCTGAAAGTTAGTTATATAGACTTAAGACGGCATATAGCGAAGCGGAATCTGAAAGTTAGTTATATAGACTTAAGACGGGATATAGCGAAGTGGAATCTGAAAGTTAGTTATATAGACTTAAAACGGGATATAGCGAATTGGAATCTGACAGTTAGTTATATAGACTGAAGACGGAATATAGCGAGGTGGAGTTTGGAAGTTAGGTATATAGACTTAAGACGGAATATAGCGAGGTGGAGTCTGGAAGTTAGGTATATAGACTTAAGACGGGATATAGCGAGGCGGAGTCTGAAAGTAAGCTATATAGACTTAAGACTGAATATAGCGAGGTGGAATCTGAAAGTTAGTAATATAGACTAAAGACGGAATATAGCGAAGTGGAATCTGGAAGTTAGTTATGTAGACTTAAGACGGAATATAGCGAGGTGGAGTCTGAAAGTTAGTTATATAGACTTAAGACGGAATATAGTGAGGTGGAATCTGGAAGTTAGTTATATAGACTTAAGACGGAATATAGCGAGATGGAATCTGAAAGTTAGTTATATAGACTTAAGACGGAATATAGCAAGGTGGAATCTGGAAGTTAGTTATGTAGACTTAAGACGGAATATAGCGAGGTGGAGTCTGAAAGTAAGCTATATAGACTTGAGACGGAATATAGCGAGGGGGAATTTGGAAGTTAGTTATGCAGACTTAAGACGGAATATAGCGAGGTGGAATCTGAAAGTAAGCTATATAATCTTAAGACGGAATATAGCAAGGTGGAATCTGAAAGTTAGTTTTATAGACTAAAGACGGGATATAGCGAGGTGGAATCTGAAAGTTAGTTATATAGACTAAAGACGGGATATAGCGAAATGGAATCTGAAAGTTAGTTATATAGACTGAAGACGGAATATAGCGAGGTGGAAACTGAAAGTTAGTTATATAGACTTAAGACGCTATATAGCGAAGTGAAATCTGAAAGTTAGTTATATAGACTTAAGACGGGATATAGCGAAGCGGAATCTGAAAGTTAGTTATATGGACTTAAGACGGGATATAGCGAAGTGGAATCTGAAAGTTAGTTATATAGACTTAAAACGGGATATAGCGAATTGGAATCTGACAGTTAGTTATATAGACTTAAGACGGAATATAGCGAGGTGGAATCAGGAAGTTAGTTATATAGACTTAAGACCGGATATAGCGAGGTGGAGTCTGAAAGTTAGTTATATAGACTAAAGACGGGATATAGCGAAGTGGAGTCTGAAAGTAAGCTATATAGAATTAAGACGGAATATAGCGAGGTGGAATCTGGAAGTTAGTTATGTAGACTAAAGACGGAATATAGCGAGGTGGAATCTGAAAGTAAGCTATATAGACTTAAGACGGAATATAGCGAGGTGGAATCTGGAAGTTAGTTATATAGACTTAAGACGGAATATAGCGAGATGGAATCTGAAAGTGAGTTATATAGACTTAAGACGGAATATAGCGAGGTGGAATCTGAAAGTTAGTTATATAGACTTAAGACGGAATATAGCGAGGTTGAATCTGAAAGTTAGGTATATAGACTTAAGACGAGATATAGCGAGGTGGAATCTGAAAGTTAGTTATATAGACTTAAGACGGAATATAGCGAGGTGGAATCTGAAAGTAAGCTATATAGACTTAAGTCGGAATATAGCGAGGTGGAATCTGGAAGTTAGTTATGTAGACTAAAGACGGAATATAGCGAGGTGGAATCTGGAAGTTAGTTATGTAGACTAAAGACGGAATATAGCGAGGTGGAATCTGGAAGTTAATTATATAGACTTAAGACGGAATATAGCAAGGTAGAATCTGGATGTTAGTTATGTAGACTTAAGATGGAATATAGCGAGGTGGAATCTGAAAGTAAGTTATATAGACTTAAGACGGAATATAGCGTGGTGGAGTCTGGAAGTTAGGTATATAGACTTAAGACGGAATAATAGCGAGGTGGAGTCTGAAAGTTAGTTATGTAGACTTAAGACGGAATATAGCAAGATGGAATCTGGAAGTTAGTTATATAGACTTAAGACGGGATATAGCGAGGTGGAGTCTGGAAGTTAGTTATATAGACTTAAGACGGGATATAGCGAAGTGGAGTCTGAAAGTAAGCTATATAGACTTGAGACGGAATATAGCGAGGTGGAATCTGAAAGTAAGCTATATAGACTTAAGACGGAATATAGCAAGGTGGAATCTGGAAGTTAGTTATGTAGACTTAAGACGGCATATAGCGAGGTGGAATCTGAAAGTAAGTTATATAGACTTAAGACGGAATATAGCGAGGTGGAGTCTGGAAGCTAGTTATGTAGACTTAAGACGGAATATAGCAAGATGGAATTTGGAAGTTAGTTATGCAGACTTAAGACGGAATATAGCGAGGTGGAATCTGAAAGTTAGTTATGTAGACTTAAGACGGAATATAGGGAGGTGGAATCTGAAAGTTAGTTATATAGACTTAAGACGGAATATAGCGAGGTGGCATCTGAAAGATAGTTATGTAGACTTAAGACGGAATATAGCGAGGTGGAGTCTGAAAGTAAGCTATATAGACTTAAGACGGAATATAGCGAGGTGGACTCTGGAGGTTAGTTATATAGACTTAAGACGGAATATAGCGAGGTGGAATCTGGAAGTAGGATATATAGACTTAAGACGGAATATAGCGAGGTGGAGTCTGGAAGTTAGGTAAATAGGCTTAATTTATTGATGTGAATCAACTTAAACTTCAATATGATATCCAAATTAACTTTGAGTACTATGGCTTACTAGCATCTATCCCAAATTCATGGGAAAATGTGATTAAAACATACATGAAAAATAATGATGAACCAGAAAACAAATATATACAAATACTAAAAGGGAAAGTAAAGCTAACTAGAGACTACTTTTATACCCTATTGGTCAATCGATATCAATATCTCCCTATTTCATCTAGGCAAAAATGGCAAAACATGGGATTAAAAGCTGTTAAGACTGCAAATAAAACTTATCAGGAAGGAGTTTATAAGCTGGGATATATCAGGAGGCTGTAGGAAGCTGTAAAGTCTGAAGATGAAATGTTGTTATCTACAATCTACTCTATTGGAGAGTTAACAGTTTTACAATTGTATCTGGACGGGAACCGCAGTGCCCGAATAGAAACCATAGTGCCCGGAAAAAAATCGCATTGCTCGGATATAAAACCACTGTGCCCGTATAAAAACCACAGTGCCCAGATACAAAATACCACGATGCCCGGATAAAAAACACGTGGTCGGGCAGATGACCCTATACCTTTTCACGTCCGACCAGCGAAATAACCCCAGTCGTCTTAGTAAAAGGCGAGTGCGCCATCAATTGCGCCACTCGACCACTCAGTGAAGTCATTTCCAGTTGTAAGAAAGTGATCATGTTACTATTGTTTCGTCAGATGTTAAATATTGTCATAGTAACCGTAAGGAGGAGACGTCTCACTGAACATACATAGTAACGGTAAAGAGGACAGGTCTCACTGAACATACAAAGTAACCGTAAGGAGGACACGTCATACCGAACATACATAGTAACGGTAAGGAGGACACGTCTCACTAAGATACAAAGTAACCGTAAGGAGGACATGTCTCACTGAACATACATAGTAACGGTAAGGAGGACGCATCTCACTGAACATGCATAGTAACCGTAAGGAGGACACGTCTCACTGAACATACATAGTAACGGTAAGGAGGACACATCTCACTGAAGATACACAGTAACCGTAAGGAGGACACGTCTCACTGAACATACATAGTAACGGTTAGGAGGACACGTCTCAATGAACATACATAGTAACGGTAAGGAGGACACATCTCACTGAACATGCA